GTGCTTAATAAGCCCCAGCCTAGTTGGGAAAATGGGAGTTCCTCTAAGGAAACTCAAGGATCCCATTGCCTTTTGTTAGCTCGATGGGTCCATGACAGGGTGCATCCCGGAAAGCTTTGTCACCAAATCCTTGGGACTCACCATGGGATGCCACTCAAAGACTTTGGCTTTCATTGTGGCTCCCAGCATGGAATGGCCCCTTTTCCTTGGACTAACCTGGTTAAAGAAATGGAACCACCTAATCAACTGGATAGAGTGGCATCTAAAGTTCCCAAGGAAGAGAGCTCCTCCCCAGGGATTGCCTGCTAAAAGAATGGAGGGTCTGAAGCAAGAATTAGTGTCCACACTGAGTGAGCAAGAGATTTGGAGCAATTCCAAAAGAGTACCGTGATTTAGCTGAGGTTTTCAGTGAAAAGAGGTCAAATGGGCTCCCCCCCCTCACCAGGCAACGGACTGTGCAATTGAAATCATCCCAGGGGCTAAATTACCTAAACCAAAACTATATTCAATGACCCCTAGGAAAGTAGATGAGCTGCACAAGTTCATTGACAAGAATTCAGCTGGCCAGGACTCAGATGGCAACCTCTGTGCTATTCAGAGAGAAGAAGGATGGGTCTCTTTGTCTCTGCATGGATTATTGATGTTTGAAGATGGTATCCATGGAAAATGTGTATCCCCTGCCCCTTATGAGGGACATGGTAGCTCACCTAGTAAAAGAATTTTTTTTTTCTAAGTTAGACTTGCAAGAGGCATACTATTGCATCAGAATTAAAGAGGGGGATGCTTTCAACTGCCCCCTAGGTTGCTTCTAATTCAGGGTGCTCTCTTTCAGGTTACAGGGAGCCCCAGCAGTGCTCATGCAACTAATCAATGAGGTCATCTATGAGCACCTACAAGGGGGTTCAGGTGTATTTGGACGATATCTTGATCTACACCAAAACTAAAGCTGAACATGTTAAGTCAGTTAGGGCAGTCCTAAAGAAACTCCACACTGCTAAATTGTACTCCAAATTCTCGAAGTATGAAATCCATAAGGATAGAATTGACTATCTGGGCTATGCGTCTTCCACGAAGGAGTGGAGATGGACTCAGAGAAAAGTGTGGGCCGTCATGGAGAAGACCTCTTCCCGCAGCAGGAAGCAGTTACAGAGCTTTCTGGAGTTTGCCAACTTTTACAGGCAATTTATCCCCTCGTTTGCCCTCTGCTTACTTACAAATTTCTGTATCATCTCCAACTAGTTTTGTTCTTCCTTTCATTTCCCCTCCCTTTCCCTCCCTTTCATGTTAGTCCCTTGTCTTCTGTCTTTTTGATTTTCTTTTTCTACTGCAGCAAGTAGTGTGCATGCATGTGTCTGAGACTGATTTGTATATTATATGCCAGCAGGAAATCAATTAACTTTATAAATAAGCTATTTATATTAAAGGTAAATTATTTTAAATTAGTGATTATTTCAATTATTATTTATTTGTCAGCTTTATATAGTTGCTCATCTCATGATCATGACTCTGGACAATGTACAATAACAGCAGTATACATTTGGAAGGAGATAATTCTGGCCAAGCTGTTTTTTGATGTAGCTGTGGCAACTCAGCATGCATCCAGTTTTGGTCACCATGATGTAAAAAAGACGCTGAGACTCTAGAAAGAATACAGAGAAGAGCAACAAAAATGATTAGGGGACTGGAGACTAAAACATATGAGGAACGGTTGCTGGAATTGGGTATGTCTAGTTTAATGAAGAGAAGGACAAGGGGGTACATGATAGCAATGTTCCAGTATCTCAGGGACTGCCACAAAGAAGAGGGAGTCAAGCTATTCTCCAAAGCGCCTGAAGGCAGGACAAGAAGCAATGGATGGAAACTAAGCAAGGAGAGAAGCAACCTAGAACTAAGGAGAAACTTCCTCACAGTTAGAACAATTAACCAATGGAACAACCTGCCTCCAGAAGCGGTAAATGCTCCAACACTGAAAGTTTTTAAAAAGAAACTAGAGAGCCATCTGTCCGAAATGGTGTAGTGTTTCCTGCCTGAGCAGGGGGTTGGACTAGATGACCTCCAAGGTCCCTTCCAACTTTATTATTTATTTATTTATTTATTTATGAGACTTATATACCGCTTTAAGTGCAAGCACTCTCTAAGCGGTGTACACCAGTAAGCAATGTATATATATATATTTACATTGCCCCCAACAATCTGGGTCCTCATTTTACCTACCCCGGAAGGATGGAAGCCTGAGTCAACCTTGAGCCGGTGAGAATTGAAACGCTGACCTGCTAAACACAGTCAGCTAAAGTGGCCTGCAGTACTGCACTCGAACTGCTGCGCCACCTCGGCTCTTTATAAAGAGCCACCTCGGCTCTTTAACAATTATTATTATTGTTATTATTATTATTAATAATAATAATAATAATACATAAACATATATGCAAATGTGTCACATGTATATATTCATGACAGGAAATTTTCTTCAGGAATGGAGCTAGCACTGATGCTAGGACAGCTAGGATTGGAGTTGGAGAAGTTGGGTATTGGACAAAACTATGGTCCACATTTGAATGGTGGGTTTATTTTAAACAGAGCATCATTTTCTTTCAGATATAATAGCTGAACACTGGTTTGAATTAACATAGCTTTAGGAGAGGTCCTTGACTGACAAAAACTGGCTTAGTATTGTGGTGCATCATCCTTTTTCATCACTTTCTGATGTTCCTCTGAATCTGTGATCAGAACCAATCAGAGAAATTTTCCTTGTAGCATAAGGCATGCGTAAGAGCACTGGATGCTATTTTTAGCACAGTTTTTTTTTCCCTTCTAGCAAATGGAATGCCACCATAGGAAACTGCTACATCTTCTTAGAGGTTGTTATTTTTTTACATGTCTATCACTTCCTACTTTTTCATTTGTTTTTTATTCAGCTTGTTAAACTTCATGACTGATTGCTCCCCCCCCCCTTTTTTTATAGCCCAGCACAGCAAGTTTCATTATTTGGTGTCAAGGACGTCAAAATGACATAATCAACAAATGGGTAAGAGTCAGTGCATTGTGGTTAGTAAATTCTACTTTTTTTCTTTGAAAAATGAAAGGGGGTGGTTCTCTAAATCAGCGGTTCTCAACCTGTGGGTCGGGACCCCACTTGAGGTCGAACGACCATTTCACGGGGGTCGCCAAACAATGCAGTCCGCCATTTTTTCCCCTTTTCCTTAGCTGTGCTACTCCCTTTTATTCTATTGGCTTTTGAAAGCCAATAGAATAGACTCTCTTGAATAGAATCTAATTCTATTGGCTTTCAAAAGCCAATAGGAATTGTCCAGGCTGTCTCTGCCCTGCTGAGCCCTCCAAAAGTCCCATTCTGCAAATGGTGCTGCAAGTTGTCTGCAGCGAGCTGTCTGGAAGTTTCCACCCCTCCCTGCTGAACAACTACTAAAAATGTAAGTAAAAGAGGGCCAGGGGTGGGAGGTGGGAGGCCAGCAGGCGCAGGGAGGGTTGCTGGCGTGCGTGGGGCCCGGCGGGTGCCTTACCACCCTTGGGCTGGGCCAGCTGGTGGCCCAGCAGGTGGTCACCCTGCATCATCGCTGCTCCTTGCCAGCTATGCCTCGGCCGGCGCAGGGGGCGGTACCACGCATGCGCGGCGCTCCCAGGCAAGGAAAGTCCTCGACTTATGAGTAGTTGGGTAGTCACCGACTTACGACCAGTTGGGTAGTCCTCGACTTATGACCGGTTGAGTAGTCCTTGACTTACGACCGGTTGGGGGTCGCGGCATTAAAAAGGTTGAGAACCACTGCTCTAAATGGTCCAAATAATTATATATTCGCTTTCACATATAAGGCATTACTCTTTCTTTTTCAGCTAGACACCAAATGAGAGGGGGATTCAGCACTATGGACTATTTGCTTAGCATTTGTTAAGGCTGTTTGAATAATGTAAATATGCTTTGCACATAAATTGAATTTAATGACATGCACCTTTAAAAAATAAACACAATGCTTTCTCTATGAGAGGGGGAAAGGAGTATTTCCCTGCTATTTTTACACCAATCAAACTGTTTACAAAAGGTTTCCAACCTTTTGAGCTTGAAGTCCAAACACCTTAAAGTTTCCAAGGGTGAGAAATACTGGTTTCTTGCACAATCTGGCTACCAATTCATAATATTATTCTGCTGATCAAAGCAAGCCGGCCCCTGAGAGATGGATGGAAAGGATCCCAGTTCCAGATAGGTATCCATCCTGAAATCATATGAAAAATCTGCACTGCATCTCACAATCAGGAAATGTAATCTGCATCTTTTTGTAAATACATAAGTAATATTGCATAAACATACAGTATCTGATTTTTACTTATTTTTTACAAAGGTAAAGAATACAAATAAAACATTTGGATTCTTCTTTGCTGTTTTCTTTTCCTACCCTATAGCCGAGGTCTAAGTTGCCTGCTTTCTCATTCCCCATGCAAAGCAAATACTGCACTCAAAAGAAGTTTTGGTAGCATTCTACTCAGAACTGGTTTTTTTTTTTCTTCCGTCCATTCCCAACCACTCCTCCCTTCCTTACCTACTTGACTAAAAATAGATTTTAAAAGCATACATAAAATTCACATTTATTATAAATAAATAACTCATTCGTCTCATCTTTCTCTTGCTCTTCCGTTCTTCTGTTCTCCCAGAAAGCTCTCCCGAAGGCTATCCAGCCAGTACATCAAGTAGCAAAAGATAGAAAAAATGCTGGGTACTGTCTCTCCAAGACCTACCGACGGCCAATCTCAGGAATGAACCCCGGTAGGCCCATGAACGAGCGAGCGAAGGAATGAATGGAGGGAAAGCCTGGGAAAAAAATGAATGGGACCTCGCGCGCTCGCGCCCGCACAGACCCTCCCGCTTACAATTTCGCCGTGAATGGCGGCCCTTGTTCCCGCGAAGGCCGCAGGGGGGCACTGTGCCCGCATTGCCCACTCGGACGCAGCTGGACTCCCCTCGAGGCGCACGTGTCTCGGGAAGGGGAGGCCAGACGCCAAGGCGGAATGTCACCTGGAGACAACGGTGGCGGCCGTTGGGGCGCCTGTGTGTGTTTGGCGAGAAGCGCTGAGGTGTGGGTGCCGGACGCAAGTGCAGCAGCCAAGCGTCGGGGCGATGAAGGCGGAACGAGGAGGGAGGGGCTGCTATAAAAATAACTCAACGAGGCACACTTCAGCGAAGCGTCCCCGTCTGAGTAAGGGGACGAGATGAGGCGCCCGAGGATGGGAGGCGCCCGGCGCAAGAGGCAGCCACTGGTCGGCTCTTTTGCAAAGGCACGAGGAGACGGAGTAATGTCGTTATCCTCCCACCCCAACCCGCCTCGTGCACATCTAGCGTCTCCCATAAGGAAGGGCAGAGGAAAGGGACGAAGTTCTGCTGTCCAAATTTGCATCGCCGGCATGGACGTCCGGTGAGCGGCTCCTCGTCTCCTCGGCATGTCAGTAAATCGGAGCGGGCTGAATGGCTCAAGGCCGCAGGACCAGCTCACCTTGGACAGGCCCCCTTGGGTGGCTTCCACCTTGGCCGTGATCCTTATCTTCACCATCGTGGTGGACCTGCTGGGCAACTTGACGGTGATCGTCTCCGTGTATAGGAACAAGAAGCTGAGGAACGCTGGTGAGAAACGGGAAGCCGAAGGAGGGTGGCAAGAAAGTTGCAAACCAACCCAGCCGCGCTCCGGACGGGACTCCGGGGAGAGGAGTGGAGATCGGGAGGGTTGAGGGGGCCGACGGTCACTCCGGCCCGGGACAATATTCCCCTGCAAGTCATAAAGGCATTTCTTCTGACAGCCAGGCGCCCAATCATTTTTCTCCCCCTCCCCCAGAAAGCGATTGCTTGCCTCCCCTAGCGCCCTCCCGCTTTAATCTGGCTGGCACTCCTGTACAACTAGGGTCCATCCAGCCGCCCTATTTTTATTCTCCGGACTCTGCCGGGTGGCTGCAAGGCAGGTTTTGTAGCTCAAGCTAGGCTTCTCCAGAAGTTTGGGGTGGCACCCTTCCTATGACCTGCCCATAGGATGAACCCATCTCGTGTATCCCCTCTTTTTTTCTATGGCAGTGGTTCTCAACCTGTGGGTCGGGACCCCATTTGCCAAACAACGCAGTCCGCCATTTTTTCCCCTTTTCCTTAGCTGTGCTACTCCCTTTTATTCTATTGACTTTTGAAAGCCAATAGAATAGACTCTCTTGAATAGAGTCTAATTCTATTGGCTTTCAAAAGCCAATAAGAATTGTCCAGGCTGTCTCTGCCTGCTGAGCCTGCCAAAAGTCCCATTCTGCAAATGGTGCTGCACAAGTTGAGTAGTCCTCGACTTACGACCGGTTGGGGGTCGTGGCATTAAAAAGGTTGAGAACCACTGTTCTATGGACTTTAAGTGCTCAAGTTTTACAAGGTTTGCAGGTTGCCCTCGCTGTTATTCCTGAGCCCCCATACTATGAAAAGCACCAGCTTCAGAGGGGGTGACAAAAAACAAGGGGGCTGAAATGTTTTTTTTTTCCTCCACTTCAGATGGGAGGGTAAAGAAGAAGATTTTTTTTTTTAGCAGAAACCAGGTTTTAGGCCAGTGGTTCTCAACCTTTCTAATGCCGCGACCCCATAATACAGTTCCCCATGTTGTGGTGACCCCCAACCACTTATACATCACCGGGTGCCAGGGGCGTGGCCAAAGAAAAGGAGGAAAAAAATGGTGGACAGCCTTGTTAGGCGACCCCCGTGAAATGGTCGTTCGACCCCAAATGGGGTCCCGACCCACAGGTTGAGAACCACTGTTTTAGGCTGTTATATAAAACTCCATGCTCAGTGTAAATAGTAAGATCCAGTCCCAGTTGGAGTCATGTAGTCCAGCAAGAGAGAGAGGCAATAAAATTCTCCCTTAGATGAATATGGAAAGAGAGATGGTCAATTAAACCATACTCTGTGTTATTTAATCCAGGGTAAGAAATAGTGGTTATTTGTACAAAGTGAATATGTTGCTTCCTTGCCTCTTTGCGGTGCAGCCAATTCAATGCTAACCCATTCTTTGGCCTTTCCTCTGGCTATTTAATTCATTGGGAGATTGTTAGGCAGCTAAACAAAGTTTTACTTCTTCCTATTTAAAGAAGAGAATCTCTTAAGAAAATCTGCCTTCTTTGATGCTTGATCTAATAAAGCAAGGTCCTTTTCTTCTTTGCTTTATCAAGTCGGTGCACACATATTCTAAATCTAGTCATTCGTACCTCTCTGGCCCTTTTAAACTTTCATTAAGAAAAAACTCTTGTTCGCTAAAGGAACAGAAAACACATGACACCTGCAGGGAACAGAAAACAAGTGCAAGGAATTGCGTCAGCAAAGCAGACAAATGTATTTCCACACCATCTTCTAGAATTCCAATCTTTAGTTGATGCTCTGAATGAAATGTCTTGCCAGCTTTTGAAGGGTGTCACATGGAATGTTAGTTGGTCTTACACAGTGTTTTGACAATCTGGGCAGATGAAATCTGACGATTGTGGGACTAATTGCACAAATGTCCATGGGCATCTATCCATGGGCATCTCCCACAAGGGCCTGAGATAACTGTTTCAGACACAGGATACATTCATCAGCCTTTTGGACAGACTCTGATAAGAACACCTGCAGTAGCCTTGTATCTGGAGAGTGTCTGTTATTTGATACATTGTAACCACCCCTATATACGTCTTTTGATTATGCTGTGTGATGTAAAAACCTTAGTAACAATAAAAGAGGGTGCTGGAGTCAGCTCTGGGCTCTCATCCCGAGATACCTGTCTGCGTGTCTCATTCTCCATGGGAGACCACCACATCTGGTGACCCCGACGTGATCCACTGAAGGATACGTCCCTGCCAACCCTTTACTTATCGCCTGGAATAGGCTTGGTGCACCCGACGAAGTTGCTGGCAACTGACTCCTCTTCGTAAGTATGGGGGGTGGAATGTCTCACGCTCAAAAGCAGCATGTGGAAGAGCTGAGGCTACTTGGCAGGAAAAAATATCTTACTGATCAGGAACAGAAATTAACCCGTCACCTTTCTAAATCTGAGGCTGTCAAATTGCTTGCTTACGTTTGGGCTAACTGCTCATCCTATCCGGAGTCTGGATCTTTAAGCATATTGGTCTCATGGAGGAAAATTGGTTGCAAACCAGCTGACTGATCAGCTTATAAAAATCCACTTGATAAACCTATGCTGAATTGCCTCATCAGCCCCCCTGGGTATAAATCCGTCTGTTATGTTGCCTGCCACTCCCTTACCCCAGTCTGATAAATTGGTTTTGAAACCCTCCTGTCCCTGCCAATTTTATGGATTCTGATAAACAGCAAACAACCTCTCCTGTTCCTGCCACGTTGCCTCCTCTCTCCTCTCTCTCTCTCTCTCCTGGAATCATGCGTGGTGCTTTTCAAAAGGCTTTAAATAATGGTGATTTAAGCGTTTCTGAACTATCCGAGACAGAGTTGTTCCCTGTTAATTACCAACAGACTGCTAAAGGGTTAATAGTGGGTTGGGAGGCACTTCCCCTGGCTATGATCAGAGAATTGAAAAAGGCTACAAAAGATTATGGCATAACCAGTCCCTATACTAGAGGACTAATACATTCAATTGCTAGTGCATATAGAATGTTGCCTCAAGATTGGAAAGATCTGTTCCGCATGCTTCTTAACGGAACACAATACGTAGTCTTTGAATCTGAATATAAAAGAGAGGCACAAAAGAGAGCTAATCACCCAGGTTCACAATACACAGCAGAACAACTCTTTGGAGAAGGCAATTTTACTACCCTTAATGCTCAAGCTCAAACTTTTACTCCCTTTGCATTTCCTATCATTAATGCTTGTGTTCTTTCTGCCATGGCTCTTGTTGATGAGTCTGGAACCCCGATTCAATCTTTTTCTGCCATTCACCAAACTGCAACTGAATCCTATGCAGACTTTGTGAATTGCCTGCAAGTTGCCATTGAGCATCAAATTTCAAACAGAGATGCAGCAAATGAAATCCTCATAAAATTGGCTTATGAATATGCAAATGCAGACTGCCAGTCCATTCTTAAACCAATTGTTTCCAGTCCCACGGCCACTCTGGCAGACTTTCTTAAAGCCTGTCGCATTGTGGGAACCAATGCTTTTCAAATGGACACTCTTGCAGCTGCAATCCAAAAGGGGAATCAACCCCAAGGCACTTGCTTCAATTATACTCTTCAGATGTATTGCAACTTTCTCTTGCTGACTGGGCAGGATCTGTTTCCTGTCATGTTCCCTCTGACCCTCGCTTCCAACTCCTTAATAATGTTTCAATTTCTCTGCATTCTCCCATTTCCTCCTCTCCCATTCCTAATGCTGTCACCCTGTATGTTGATGGCAGCAAGACTTATGGTTCATGTGTATGGAAGGAGGGTGAACAATGGCACACAAAAATTACTCCTCCTCAAACTTCTGCTCAGCGTGCTGAACTTGCTGCTACAATATTGGCCTTACAAACTTTTTCTTCTGAACCTTTTAATCTTATTTTAGATAGTCTTTATGTATATAAAGTTCTCACCTCTTTATCTGATTCATATGTGTCACCCTCACTGGATGACTCTCTCCTCAGTCTCTTTCTCACACTTCAATCCCTTCTTCATTCCCGCTCTACTTGTTTTTTTCCTGCTCATATTAGAAGTCACCAACCTTTCCCTGGTATTATCTCCGAAGGCAATGCCAAGGCGGATGCTGCCGCTTCGGCTGCCTCCACTCACCAGGACGTTTCTGTCCTTGTTTTATCTCCCATAACCCCATGGGACAGCCATTCATATTTTCATCAAAATAAGAAGGCTTTAATGAAACAATTTTCTTTAACAGCTACGGAGGCTGCGGCTATCATACAACAATGTCCCACCTGCAGCCTCCAAGCACACTCTGTTCCTCAAGGGGTCAACCCAAGAGGGACGCAGAGCTGTCAACTTTGGCAAATGGATGTTACACAATATTTGCCATTTGCCCCTTGGAAATACTTGCATGTTTCCATTGACACCTATTCAGGTTTTATTATGGCCACCCCTCAAAGGGGTGAGTCTGCTAAACATGTTATTAATCATTGTATTCGTATCTTTTCTATCCTGGGCAATCCAAAAGAAATTATGCATGCAAAAAAGAAAGGGGAAAATACCCCCGGCTTGCCTGGGATACAAAACACTCTTAATCTTGTACTTTTTACCTTAAACTTTTTGAATGTTTCTGGCACCCCTGGCTCAACTGCCGCAAGCAGGCATTTTTCTGCTTCTCCCACAGATTCTTCACGCCCCCAGGTATACTATCGACGTTTGCCTGATCCCACCTGGAAAGGGCCTGCCTCCCTCATTACTTGGGGTCGAGGCTATGCTGCAATAGACGACCATGGCGAGATCATTTGGACTCCAGCTCGTTGTGTTCGTCCTTATATGGCTCAACGTACACCACCTCAACCAGGCATATGAGGATCAGGGACTGTGGGCTTTTAATGCTTTTGTACGGGATGCCAGGCGCACTGCTCTTACACTTAACGTCACGAACTGTTAGATCTGCATGCAAATTCCTGGTGACAGTCGTGGTGGTCTTATTTTCCATGCCATTCCATTCAATGAAACAGGATGGAAGCAGCTGTGGAGCATAAC